TCTCGTGTTCAAAGGCTTTGAAGAAAGCAGCGGAAGTATTCTTCCTCAGTGGTGCTGCGGCCACCTGCTTGGAGCGATGGTCAACAGCAAGACAGCCGATGAAGCCGCGCGGAGTCCGCGGAAAAAGAAGCGCGTGAGCAGCTGCCAACTTGAACGGCGTGCTCGTCTCCATGCTCTCCGAGATGGGAGTGCTATCGCGCGCGAGGTAGTCCTGTACAGCTGACATTGGCCGCAGGCCCCAACAATGTTCGGGATCAGTCTGCTCAGCCATGGACTAACCACCTGGCTGGCCCGAAGACTGAGGCCACTGTCTTTTCGACGGTGGGCCATGTCTTGATGCATCGCCAAAGCCATCAGTCAACGGTGTAGGCAAGCGAGTAGAGCCCAATACCAATGTGGTGGGCTCCTAAACTGTCGGAAGTGTCCCGACAGGTTAACGGATCGGCTATAGCGCAGGGCGCTCTGAGCAAGCGGAAATAGCTCAAGATAGCTCACTGTTAATGAATTAATACCCTTAAGAGATTGAGGGTGTCTTGGCAGAAGAACGTATAGGGCCTCGCATAACAGCTCAGGGTCCTTCGAACAAATGCACTTGAGCGATCGAGAATGCTTTGACAGGAGAACGTATAGGACCTGGGACAACAGCTTTGGTTCCTTCCAGCAAATATGGAGTGTCCAAGGCCATTGCAGCGGGCCCCTGTGCGATCGAGAGTGCCTGCGCAGGCTAACAGAAAGGGCCCCGACAAGAGCAAAGTGTCCTTCGCAAACCAATTAAAAGGGAAGGTGCCCTGGACCAATGTAGAGGGTCCGTGAGGATCCAGTGCTTTCGAACGCTAACTTACACGAGTTTTAGCAACAGTGCAGGACCTTCCGAGCAAGTAGAAAGAATCCGAGACGAAAATGAAGCGCCCCTGAGTAACCGGGAGTACCCCGGCAGCCTGACATGTGGGTGCCCGGCTACAGCGTATAGAGCCTTTCAGGTGAATGGGAAGAGCCCGTGGAGAGCGATTGATCGACAAGAGTACCCCGGCATGCTGGCAGATAGGGCCCCGACAGTAGCGTGAGGTCCTCCGAAAAAATGCAAGAGATCAAGAGTAATGTGGAAGGCTCCTCAGCGATCGGATTGACCAGACAAGTGTACATTTAGGGTCCCGGCAACAGGGTAGGGCCTCTGGACAGAATAATGAGCTTCAAAACCGTCTTCAGTCCCCACCCTTTTAATCTGCGAATACTTATTTTTACCTCTTCGTGGACTTTTTACTTTCGCTTGCGATTGTTCGTGGTCGCGTGGGGGCCCAAAAACGTTCAATTTTGTTGTGTTTTGTACTAAAAAAGCTGCATTCTGTCGGCCGCTGAGCCCAAGAGGGGAAGGAAGGCGGAGCATGACTGTGTGGCCTCCCTTCTGGATCCGCTACTGGCCCAAGCACTTTAACAGATAAGGCTCCCGACGAGAGCGTAGGGCCCTTCAAGCAAATTAAAAGTGTCCAAGACACAATGTTGAGGGCAAGAACGATCGAGTGCGCCCGAGCAGGTTAACAGATGGGCTCCCGACAACAGCGCAAGGCCCTCCACTCAAATAGGAGAAACTGAAGACCCAATGTAGAGGGCCCCCGAACGATTAAACGAGTCCAAGCAGCTTAACTAATGGGGAGCCCCGACAACAGTATAGGGCCATGCGAGCAAGCAGGAAGCGCCCAAGATCGACTGGGATGGGCTCTCAAACGATCAAGTGTGCCCGAGCTTCTTAAAAGATGGAGCCCCTAACAAGAGCGTAAGGCCCCCAACGAATTAGAAGTATCCCATACCCCAGGTGGAGAGCCCCGAACGATCGAGTGTGCCCGAACAGGTTAGCAGATAGGCCCTCCGCAAGTGACAGGAAATTGGAAGGGCCCTAGACCAATGTAGAGGGCCCATGAGCATATGGCGAGTGTGCTGGTAGGTTAATCGAGACCTATGTGAAGCGTCACTGAGCAGCCGAGAGTACCCTGCAGGCTAACATGTGTGGCCCCGGCTATAGCGTTAAGAGCCCTTCTGGAGATGGAAATAATCTGTGGAGGGCCCCTGATCGACTAGAGTCCATTGGTATGTTAGCGTTTAGGACCACGACAACATAACGTCTAGCGAGTGAGTGCAAATAAATCATGGGCAACGTGGAAGACTCCATGGTGATCGGATTGACTCTGCAAGTGGTTATATAGGTCCCCCGGCAATAGCGTACGGTTTCTGTGCAACCTTATGATTCTTGAAATCTCCCCAATCATCCCCCCCTCCCTCCCCCAAACCTCCACCTCCCCCCCTCCCCCCCCCAACTCCAATCTACGAAGAGCTAGTTGTGTCTGCTTGCAGGCCCTTCACTTTTGGTTGGGACTGTTCTTGGTGGCCTGGGTACCAAAGCGTCCAATGTTGTTTAATTTTATTTTTTTTAACTGTGTCTCTTCGACCGGCTGCGGACCCCTGGGGAACCTTTATGAGCTCCTTTCGTGACTGAAGGGGGCCATGGAGACCCCATACCCCCCCCCCCCCCTGAATCCGCCACTGCCTGGTGGACCGTCTGTGACCGATTTACACGGATGCATCAATACATTTGTTATTAACGCAGTCTCGCGTGCACTTACGGCTGAGCGGTCACGAACATGAAGCGGATATAACTGTCGCGTGCTTGCCCGATATGCCTCGCTATGCCAAGCCGCGCTGCACATCGACAGGCTTTTACCCCAAGTATGGAGCGCGGGCTGCAGCGGCCGCATTGCAGCGTCGCACCATGGGGACGCGTGCTTATACTCCCCGACCCAGAAACAGTTACAATGCTGGAGACAATCGACCGGCGGGGCGTCGCGTGCCGGAGCCCCTCCCACCCCCTAGTTACGAGCGAGGAGCTCGGTCCGATACATTCCGCCCTACAGGAGTCAGTGGCTGCTGACAGCTCGTGCCTTGTGCTGGACCAAGTCGACGGCCCCCTGTGGCGGGTGTGGGTAGCGATGGGTGAGGTCGGTCTGGACGATGTGCGATCAGCTCATGAGCGGGTGCAGCGCTATGTCCACAGGACCCCGGTGGTCACCAGTCAATACTTGGACGAACTTTCCGGGCGACAGCTGTTCTTTAAAGCAGAAAACCTGCAGAAGACTGGATCATTCAAGGCTAGGGGGGCGTGCAACTGCGTGAGTTGTGACGCCGGTTCAAATATTTGCGCGAATACTCAGATATTTGCATGGATATTAAGATGTTCGAATGAATATTGAAATATTTGCATGGTTATTCAGATATATGCATGTACATTCAAATACTTGCATGGATGTTCAGATATCAGCATGGATGTTCAGCTATTTGCACGTTTGCAGATATTTGCATGGTTATGCAGATATTTGGATGAGTGCTCAGATGTTTGCATGGTTTCTCATAACATGCATGGATGTTCAGATGCTTGCATGTATGTTCAGATGCTTGCATGTATATTCAGATATACTGCATGGGTATTTAAGTATTCACAATGGATATTTCCATATTTGCATCGGCATTCAGATATCTACATGGATATTCAGATATCTACATGGATATTCAGATGGTTCCATGGATATTCAGATGTTTGCATAGATGTTTGCCAGTTTTGACTCCGGCCACGTTTGCATGGTCAGTAATGCGATGCACATTACCTCGGATTTAGATTGAAAGAAGCGAAGTTGAAACAAAACTGCACTGCATTAGTTTCGTTTTGGAGCTGCAGGCTGTCAACAATAATCCATAATGTATTTTATAACGGTGGTCTGAAAATGGCACGTCGGAGTCGTGTCAGGAATCAATGTGTCCGACCGAAGCTGCCTGTGGTTCGGCTGAGCGCGTTCGCCGCTGTCATCCGGTGTCAGCGCACTCCCTTGTGGCTGCAGGTCCTCAGCATATTGGAGCAGGATCCGGGCGTGACCGGCATCGTAACACACAGCAGCGGCAACCATGGACAGGCGACGGCCTACGCGGCGCGTGAGTCACCCTCCCCCCTCTCCACACACACACTCGGCACCCACACTCCGCCCTCCGACAGGTCAGGCCGGCACCGACTGCCACCCAATACCAAAATACAGTCGATTGTAGTGGGACGCAGGAACATCGTGCAGAAGCACTGGCATCAGAACATCAGTTTGGGTACCTCTCGCTAGGTTCATCAAAATCTAACGATAAATCGATACGGACGAGCAATGCTAGGGACGAGTGCGGCTCTGAATGGTCGTAACAATGCGGCTCTGAATGGTCGTAACAATGCAGCTCGGGATAGTCGTAACAATGCAGCTCTGGATGGTCGTAACAATGCAGCTCTGGATGGTCGTAGCAATGCCGCTCTGAATGGTCGTAACAATGCGGCTCTGAATGGTCGTAACAATGCGGCTCGGGATGGTCGTAACAATGCCGCTCTGAATGGTCGTAACAATGCGGCTCTGAATGGTCGTAACAATGCAGCTCGGGATGGTCGTAACAATGCAGCTCTGGATGGTCGTAACAATGTGGTTCCGAATGGTCGTAACAGTGCGGCTCTGAATGATATTAGCAATGCGGCTCAAAAAGAGTAATTGCATTTTAACCGTGACGATCGTGCACCGTTGTTTCGTGTGTTGTCCGGCTCGGCCAGGCGGCCAGCGCCTCCTCTGAGATCGTGCGGACCTCCGGTCGCCGTGTGACCGAAGTGCTTGCTGTCGCCTCAGGTCTGGCCGGCCTGCCCTGTGCAGTGGTCGTGCCGCGGGACACAGCCTCGGTGAAGATCGACGCGATCCGCTCGTACGGCGCTGAGGTGCTCCTCTGCGACCCGACGCCAGTTGCCCGGTGCGCGCGCGCGGGCCGGACCGGCGCCGCACGCCGCGGAGACCGGTCCAGAGTCACGAGGCTCGTGCCCGCTTGGCGTGACAAAGGAAGGCCTCAAGTTCCTAGTACTTTTAGATGTTGAATGGTAGTGATTGCAAGTGTAGATATGCACTTAGGACCATGGAGCAGCTTGGTACCAGACTGGCCATTAAAAATGAAAACGTTAGCCACATTGCGAGGAAGCGACGTTTTCAGCAAAACATCGCGGTAGTTTTACGCGTTCTGCCATATTATGAACGTTCATATGTCCAGTTACGGTCAGGCAGTCGTCCCCGCTGGCTCTCCCGTGTCCTCTGGACTTCCGCTCTGTCGGCCGTGCCATCCTCAGTAGCCCTGGGACGGCGTCGGCCCAGTGACCAGAGCTGCTCGCTGCAGGCGGGAGGCCTGCGCCAGGGTGGTGGAGCAGATGAACTACGCCGTCGCTGAGTCCAGCAACAGCTATAGCACCATCGCCGGCCAGGGCACCATCGCCCTGGAGATGCTCCAGCAGGCGAGGACCAGTGATGACGGCGTCCGCGCTATTGGTGGCAGGCGTTTTATCACCAACGGTCAGATTTAACGGCCGGATCAGAGGAAACGGGTCAGATTTTGAGCGATTGCGCCCGTGTAATCATTAGTGAAGTGTGCCGGGGTCTGATCATCCAATGCCCGATGAAGTCAACATATCGCCGAGTCATGAATGACCAGCCGGGTAGGGTGGAGGCTGGGAGCGAGCGCGGCGACGAGATGGCGGACTTACATATGTGCGCTTCTGCCCGTGCGAGGACTCCAGCATGGTAAGCTCCATGACGGAGGTGCCGAGTCCGATGAAAGCTCTGACTCACCCGTCCCGGCGAGCTCGGTCTCACCTGGCGGGCAGACGTGTCGTCGGAAGTCTTGGGTACAGACGACTACAGTTCATTACGTTCTGCCATAGGGTTGGGTCACAGAGATTATGAGACGGTCAAAATCTTCAACACCCTCATTGACACCCACGCCTAGTCGGATGAACATCGTGTGCTTGCCGGCGCCCTGAGGCAGAATAGCAGAACGCGATGCTATGCTGCAGGTGCCGGACATGGATGCCATCTTGGTGGCCGTCAGCGGCGGCGGCATGATTGCTGGCATCGCTACCGTCGTGACGGAACTCAGACCAGAGTGCAAAGGTGAGATCAAGCGGCTGCGATACGGTGAGTGCTCTTCGACGCGACGTAATACTCACATTTTCTCAGTGCCGATTACCTAACGCCAGTTGTCATCTTCATTATCGGCTTGAGATTCTTTCTATCAGCGTCAGCCGACGGTGCGATGATGCTTCAGTGCGGACTACGTATGGACGCGGCGACCGTTCCAGTGCAGGCTGGTTTCTCCCTTTGATTGGTGCCACAGGTCGGTTTCTCCCTTTGATTGGTGCCACAGGCCGGTTTCTCCCTTTGATTGGTGCCACAGGCTGGTGTCTCCCTTCGATTGGTGCCACAGGCCGGTTTCTCCCTCTGATTGGTGCCACAGGCCGGTGTCTCCCTTTGATTGGTGCCACAAGCTGGTTTCTCCCCTTGATTGGTGCCACAGGCTGATATCGCCCTTTGATTGGTGCCACAGGCTGGTGTCTCCCAGCTTAGCCGGTAATCCAGTGTGATCAGGGCCCCTGTGACTGATGCTCCCGATGTGTCCGGTGCTCCACGGTGTGTTCGGTGTTCCCATGACCCGTGCTCTGAGCGGGACCTTCGCTGCGCCGTGTAGTCGGTGCTGCGGCTGACAGCCCGGTGAGCGGTGCTCTTCAGAGTCCATGGCAGCCACGTGACCAATGTGCCCGGTGGCCTCCGTATCTGGTGTGTCTGCCGCCGTGCAGTGCGGCTGGTGACCAGTGTCCGGCGTTTCGCAGTGTGACCAGTGACCTGTGACCGACGTTCTACAATGACACCGGTGATCAATGATCAATGATCAATGTTCCCCAGTGTGACCGGTGGCCAGTGACTGGTGTTCCTCTGTGTGGCCGGTGACCAGTGACCGGTGACCTGTGACCGTTCTTCCCCAGTGTGACCGGTGACCTGTGACCGTTCTTCCCCAGTGTGACCGGTGACCTGTGACCGGTGTTCCCCAGTGTGACCGGTGACCCGTGACCGTTCTTCCCCAGTGTGACCGGTGACCTGTGACCGGTGTTCCCCAGTGTGACCGGTGACTAGTGACTGGTGTTCCTCAGTGTGGCCGGTGACCTGTGACCGGTGTTCCCCAGTGTGACCGGTGACCTGTGACCGGTGTTCCCCAGTGTGACCGGTGACCAGTGACCGGTGTTCCTCAGTGTGGCCGGTGACCTGTGACCGGTGTTCCCCAGTGTGACCGTTGACCAGTGACCGTTCTTCCACAGTGTTGGCTGTCGAGCCGGACGGCAAGCAGCTGGAGCCGTGTCTGCGGGCCGGCCGCCCGCTCTGGCCGGACCCGCCGCGCATGCTGCGAACGCTGGCCGATGGCTGCCGACTGCAGCAGTGCTCGCCGCGGGCGTTCGCCGTGATACGCCGCCTGGTGGCGCCACCTGTCATCAGCGTCACCGACCGCCAGATCGCTGGCGCCACCCAGCTCTTTTGGCAGCGCACCAAGGTACCAGCGGTCATGATTGCACGCTGCAGGCACGTTGCCGATTTGTGTCCCAGTGGTGCTATCCTTGGCAGCCGAACCCGACTTCCTGTCCCTCAGCGGCTGATCTGGACCTGCTGTCCCTCAGCAGCTGATCCGAAGCTACCGCCCCTTAGCAGCTGATCTGGAACTACCGTCTTTCAACAGTTAGTGTGGACCTTCCATCCCTCAGCAGCTGATCTGGACCTACCATTCCCCAGCAGTTAGTCTAGGCATATCGTCCCTCAGCAGCTGATCTGAACCTCCCGACCCTTAGCAATTGATGAAAGTCCTGTCCGACACTAGCTGTCCTGGTATTGCGTTCATTAGCATCTGGTCGAGGCCTTCCTTCCCTCAGCATTGGATTGAGGCCTCCTGTTCCTCAGCAGCTGAGGCTTTCAAGAGGCTTTCCGTCCGTCAGGAGCCAATCCAAACATTCCGTCCGATGCCAGGTGATCCAGACCTGCCGTCATTAGCTGCTGATCCAGGCCTCCCATCTCTGTCACCTGTTGACATAGACCTCCCGTCCATCAACTGCTGATCCAGACCCCTCGTCCATCGGCTGCTGATCCAGGCCTCCCGTCTGTTACCAGCTGATCTAGACCGTCCCTCCGTCAGCTGCTGATCGAGCCGTCCGCGGGCATGGCGGTGGCGGCGGCGCTCTCTGACCAGCTGCCGGCCGAGCTGCGCCGCGTCGGCGTCGTCCTCTGCGGTGGCAACGTGGACCTGGAGAGCCTGCCCTGGGGCGCCGGGGTCTGCCTGGAGGCGGACCGCCCGCCAGCGGCCGGGGCCGATCTGCGGGGCCTCACCCGCGGGACGGCGAGCTGCCCGAACAGCTGCTGATGTGTGAGACGGCTCACGACAGCGGGGTCGTTAGTGAGCTCAGCGTGCGGCCGCCCACGTCTGAGCCCGAGGCGCGCTGCTCGTCGCGGTACCCGGCGGACGTACCGGTCCGTGCGCGAGGGCGGGGAGAAGCGCTGTCATGGGGACGGGCTGTGATCGTGGGCAGAGGTCCGCCGGGATCGATTTGAGCGCCGGGTGCACGCCGTACGGGTGCAAGGGTGTGGGTGTGCTGGGTACAACCGTATGCTTTTAACACCCGCTTTAGCTAGGCTCTGTGTTTATCCAGGATTGCCATCAAAAGCTTTGTTAGCCAGTGTAGAATCGATTTGGATACCCGAATCGATTCCTTTCAAAGCGCATGTGAATCCAAGTCGGAGTTAAGTCAACCGCGTACGCTTGAATGATTGGTGACCTGACTCAAATGGAAGCGTAAACGGCGGCGATATTTTACCATAATAGTTGTTGCACGTTTGGGAAACCAGACGCCCCAACTTTTTAGCCTTGTCACCAAAATAAACGCGTAATAAGGGCCGTGGTGCTTCTAGACAAATTTGTGTGCCGAACCATCGCCTTTGGAGTCGACCCTTTTGATACAGATTCTGCAACCAAGCCACATCTTTTTCAGTCGTGTTTGCTTCTCGAAATAAGATTCAGAATGCGCTGTCAGTCGGAGCTGGAAGTGATTCAGCCTGATGAAGTCAAGTACAGGCGCAAATCTCACAACTTCCATAACTTTCTACTGATGCACCCATTTTTCCAGTACTTATCTCTCCATTTTCTGTGATGTACGGACATACAAAAACACAAAAAGGGATGCATATTGCCTGATCAAAAATCAAAAAACTATTTTTGTATGTCCATATGGTGGTTTGCGCTTTATCAAATTGCTCCGAAGCCGCAGCTAAGCTTCCTTCGGGCAGGATTTGTGTCTGCTCTCAGAAGGAATTGTTCCTATTTGTTTTGATTTCTCGCTGCTTCCACGTCGGAGTCTTACTTTGTTAACCATCGCCCATTAGCAGCAGACCAAGAGTGCCCCTTCCACTTTCCCATCGACACGACAACCCTTATGGTGACAACAAAAATAATAAACGTACGTCGTGACACGCCCTGCTAAGAGATGGAGGCAAAAGCCTAACTTTAAGAACGCGTTTCCAAAGCGGGAAGGTAGGTAGTGGTGGCCATTAGCAGAAACCAGCAAGGAAAGCAAAATAATGGTCGCAGCCAAAGGCGGCGTACGGCCGTATGCCGCATTTGTGCCGTATGCCCGCCCAGGTGAGGAACTCACTCGCACGATATCAGTAGCAAAACATTCACGGAGGCTAGGACGGGCAACGGTCTGGTTCGAGGGTTGTAGGTCCAGGGCTCCCGTTTCGGCCGCGCACCAGATTAGGCGAGCTTGTTGCTAAGCGGGCGGCCGAAAGCCAGAGCCGCGATTTATGAGATAAAAATGTACGCATAGCTATAGCAAATTTATATGGACACGCGCACACACACGCATGCACCCAGGCACAAGCACACGCCCCCCCCCCCCACACGCACGCACCCCCCCCCCCCCACACACACAAACACACACACATCACCATATGGTCCATTTAATGCATCACGAAGGATATACTTCAAGAAAATGTTTTTTTGTGAGCTCCATAAGTGCGCATGCAGGGACGCATGACGCGGGGTTATGTTAAAGGACTATACCCTACTGGCGCTCAGTGTGAATCCTCGTCGCTCATAATTACACACGCTTAGGTTAACAGATGTATTGGTTTATAGATGAGCATGAGGGCATTGACTTACATGCCAACAAGTATTTATAAATACAGCGATGTGTGAGACAACTTGATATGTGTCGTTATAACTAGATGTTACATATACACGAACCAAACGATTTCTAACAGCTGTGAAATCCAACGAAAAGCAACATGCATGCTTTGAGTATTGTTCGGCATGAATCAGTGGTACCCACCATGGCCTATTCAGGTGCAGTGAACCAAAGATCATTTGAGTACTTTAAGAGCAGCTTTTACATTGTTGGCCAATGTTTTTCTTATGAGATCACCAGCACCTCTTGCGACTCGCCGTCAATGGCAGCAGGACGCCCGACTCGCGGTCTATGTCAACAGGACACCCGACTAGCTGTGCTTGACACATCGTGTCGTTCGTTCTCTCCTCTGTGGAGATGGGTTCGCACGAGCATAGCACACGAACACGTAGAAAGGGTTGTAGAAAATCTCGCCTGGAGTTCGCATGCTGGCGACACGCGCAGTTGGCAGGCGTCTCCGGCCTTGCCACGTCTCTCAAGGCTGCCAGACATGAAAGGACGCGTACATCGAGTACATCACTGAAGCACAGGTCACAGAAACATCCCGTACCATGAACGTTGTGCGTAATTACATTAAGGTGGCTTGTGTGCGTTAATTCCAAAATCGTATCCGGGAGAAGCCTTCACCTCGTAGTGACTTCCCGCGGATGTCACGGATGATACAGGAAAGGCGTTAGGAGCGTCATCGGGAGCGTTGTCGTGCAGGGAGCGTCATAGGCACCAGTGGGCGTCATCAGGAGTCGTCGTAAAGGGGGCGAGATAAGCACCAGTGGATGTCATCGGAAGTTGTAAAGGGGGCGAGATAGCCATCAGTGAGAGCCATAAGGAGTCGTAAAGGGGCAGAGATAGCCACCGGTAGGCGTCACCAGGAGGGTCGTCATGAGGAGGTTAACGTAGCCACCAGTGAGCGTCATCGGGAGTCCTTGTAAAGGGCCGACATAACCACCAATGGACGTCATCAGAAGTTGTGATGGGGGCGAGATAGCAACCAGTGAGCGCCATAAGGAGTCGTAAAGGGGCAGAGATAGCCACCAGTGGACGTCGTCAAAAGTTGTAAAGGGGGCGAGACAGCCACCAGTGAGCGCCATAAGGAGTCGTAAAGGGGCAGAGATAGCCACCAGTGGACGTCATCAAAAGTTGTGAAGGGGGCGAGACAGCCACCAGTGAGTGCCATAAGGAGTCGTAAAGGGGCAGAGATAGCCATCAGTGAGTGCCATAAGGAGTCGTAAAGGGGCAGAGATAGCCACCCGTAGGCGTCACCAGGAGGGTCGTCGTGAGGAGGTCAACATAGCCAGCAGTGGGCGTCATCGGGATTCCTTGTAGAGCGCCGAGATAACCACCAATAGGCGTCATCAGGAGAGTCATCGTGAAGGGGCCAACATGGTCAACAGTGACCGCCATCAGGACGGCCGTCGTAAAGTGGCCGAGATAGCCGTCAGTGGGCGTCATCAGGGAGAGGAGTGGGCGTCAGTGGACGTCAAGCAGGGGACTTCCCAGGAGTGCGCCGACATCCGTCCCTAGGAGAGCCTTCGTGACTCGCGAATGACAAGCATGAACTCCGTCAGCACCTCGTCACCTCTAATGCGGATATCGTTATGGTGACGAATAATGCAGGGCATTATTAATATGGCGTCATTTATGTACTGGCCCGAACCTCGATTCTGTAGCACAGATGTTAGTGGTTGTATGAATAGCAGTGGTTTTTACTCATTGTCGTTCTTGCATTGGTGTCAAAATAGCGCCAGTGGATAGTAGAGCGCGTTAAAAGTGAAGATTGCTTTTCCTTAGACAACTACTCTGAAAATGGCTCAGTCCCGAGCACATGACATGATCGATGGTCTTCATGGATTATTTGAGGGCGTCCCAGAGGCTGGATCCATGGAACTCGTGAAACCAGTGGAAAAGAATATGCTGGGGTGATGCAACCAGCGTCACTTAACTCCTAATCGCCATCTGATATCTGCACTTGTATGATAATCAACGGAGCATCTCGAGATCGTCTTTCCCACATACCATAAAATGGCCCCGCTAATAAACACCAAATGGCAACGAAGGCATGCCAGGTTATTGCATCGTGCTGTAAAGAATTCGTCGTGTCACGTCTTCTTGAGATCCTCCGCCGTGCCGTCTCGTGAGGGTCCAGCTCCCCCGCTCAGCGCATGCTGGACATCATCCTCTTGTCCGCGCTGCCGATGGGCGGCAGAGTCGCCTCGAAGTCCCTCAGCGCCTTGTGGAGGAAGATGTACTGCTCGGCTGTCTGCACCATTCCTCCCCTGCAGGAGACGGAGGCGGGGCCAGGGTCAGCGCCAGCACGCCCGCACTGTGCTCCGCTGCCAGAGGGCAGACCATGCGGGGGATTTGCTCGCGTACCTATGCATCGACGCTGAAAACTGGTCAGCTGGCACAGGCATTGTTAGCCTTATGTCATATTTGAATTTGCTCAGCACATTTCCCCGCATATTAATGTTTTAAACACGATTTGATACAAACTGCAAGCTACTTTTTGTCTTTTTTACCAGCCAAAACCTAGCCGAAGCAGCTCACATTATCTGATTACACCATGCGCTGTCCACTTGATGCCCAGTCTGCCAGGCAAGTGAATAACAGTGGAAATTTCGAAACGACCTGATGACGTGTGATCGGCAGCCAGCCGCTGCCAGCGGCGGTACCAGCTGCAGTGTCCCACCACGTGATATCAGACGTGACGCAGCACTAGGCCACGACCAAGACTAGCCGTTGTCGGTTATGGCTGGCGACGGGTGGCCATCCTGCACAAGACTGTAGACAGGGGCGCAGCCAGAGTCCCGTTACTCACCCATGACTGTGCACATCGGTCAACAATAAGCGGATTACCATACAATAAAAAACAGCACGTTTAGGATCATTTCCGGTTCCCGCCTGCAGGGTGTTGTCACATGACGTCACGCCGCCGACAAAGCCAGCTCTGACCCCTCCCTCGTCTCGGCCCAGCTCTCGCCTCCCCGCGTGGCGACAGCGCGCGCCGAGTCCGTCCCGGAGCGCAGCAGCCAGGCGGCCGGGCGCCGCCCACCTGTCCTGACGCAGGCCGCAGACGATCCCCAGCACATCCACGCTGTTCTCCTGCTGCAGCTGGCATGCGCCGATCGAGGTAGCGATGAAGCAGCCCGTGCGGCCGATACCGGCGCTGCAGTGAACCACCACCGGGCCCTGCGGGGGTGCGCTCGAGGTCAGTAGGGTGTTGAGCATCACCGGACCCTGCGGGAGGTGCGCTCGAGGTCAGTAGGGTGTTGAGCATCACCGAAGCCTGCAGGAGGTACGGATGAGGTCAACAGGGTGTAGAGCACCGCTGAGCTCCGCGGGAGGTGCGGTGGAGGTCAACAGGGTGTGGGGCACCTCCGGGCCCTGTAGGAGACAGGTGCTGACTCAAGCTCTGAGGTTTGAGAGGGAGGTGAACTCAAGCTCTGAGGTCTGAGAGGCAGATAAACTCACTCCGAATTCACCTCTTCATCAAGTTCTTTGCGGTGCGATCAGCAGACACAGCCTACGGCTCGACGCAGCAGGGTGGTGGTATCGTGGTGGAGGAGTCGTAGCAGATAGCACTAATGGTCTTCACAAAAACGACACCCGTGATTTCCCGCCACTGAGCGCATCGGTAAGGGAGAGCAGTGGGCCTGACTTCTGTTCCCGATAGGGAGGGCTTCCGGGGGCTCGCTGGGAACTGGCATTGCCAGGAGATTTGCGAGAGGGCCGGCGCTACCCCTGACTCCCGCCAGAGCCCGGAGGCTCACACGGATAGACAGACCGGAGCTAACCCTGACCCCCGCCAGAGCCCCGGGAGGCTCACACGGAGGCCAGAGCTACCCTGACACCCGCCAGAGCCCCGGGAGGGTCACACGGGGACCAGAGTTACCCTGCCCTGAGGCCCACAAGAGGGCCGGCACTGCCCCTAAACCCTGCCAGAGCCGTGGGTGTTCAAACGGAAGCCGGTGCTACCACTGACCCCTGCCCGGTCCCTGGGAGACTCACCGGAGGCCGGCGCTGCTGGCTGCGCCGCGCCGTCTCCACCTCAGCGGCCATCTGTAGCAGCTGGCGACTGTGGTCCGGCGCCTGGTGGTCCGGCCAGGCCGTGAACCAGAAGTGGCGCAGCTCCAGCCGCTCCTCGCCGCACTACGACGCAGAACACCGTCAGGGGCAGCTACGGGGTAGGACGCATGCACGGCGCGGTGACGGCGGTGGTGGGTGGGGTGGGGGAGGGGGAGGGGAATACTTCCGCCACTACTACGCTCAGCATAATGGGGGAGACCACGTGCGTGTATGGGGACGCGTGGCATGTTGACGCCGTCAAAGTCACGTAAAACGAGGTCGGTTAAACAGACGAACGGGTTTGTTTACCAACCGATTGTAGCACTGATATATGACCACCTCCATCCATTTTAACTAACACAAAACTACGAGACGTGCTGCCGTCAGCCTTCGTGTTCACTGTCCACTGGATCCCCAGATGTCGTTCAAACCGTATCCACTTGCTTGCAGCGGCGACACGAAGTAAATCTCGTGAAATAGCGGTGGAAGCGTCATATGCACAATCAGCGTTTTTCAATTCGGACAGACGAAGCCACATCATGACCATTTTTAAGACCTCACTGGGCGAACATGAATCGTGACAACTGCTGAGAATGCAATGCACAGGACGTGCATGCCTGTTGCAGGACCACTCAGGACGCACCCAGACTGGGACTACGCCCGGACCGGACCACACAGGGCACACCTGAACATTAACCACTCAAGGAACCACTCCTGGACTGGGCCCCACAGAGCACACGCCTGGACAGTAAGCGCTCCTGGGACGGCTCCGGACGCACCTGCAGCAGGACCTGACGCACGGTGTAGCCGCTGCGGGGTCGGGCGCACTGGACGGTGACCTGGACGCCGCCGAAGCAGGACGTCTGGCGCGTCTCGGGCAGGTAGCCGGCGCACTTGATGCGCTCGTCCTCGCGCAGCTTGGTGATCATGACGACGGCCGGCGCGCGGTGGTGCAGCACCATGCGCCAGAAGTCGCCCAGCGTGTGCGCCAGCGGCCCTTGTGTGGCGATGTACGCCCGTTCCTCACCGTCGTACCCCTGCCGGGGTGCAGGGGCGAGCGTGGGATACGCATGGGTCTGGACTCCGAGTCACCGTACGTGAGACGGGCAGCGGTTGGACGGGCAGCGGCCGGTAACAGGCAAATCGTCCCATACTGACAGCTGCGGCTTCTGCAGGGCTCATCTCAGACCGGCGGCTGCAGAAGCTGGGGGTCGTCTCACGCACACACAGATGGTTATCAGTGGCTAGGCGGGTCTGTCGCGGGCGGTCTAACGGACACCAGTTTCACCTTGATCCAGTTTGCGTTGATGTATGTGCTCAGTGGATCTTCGGGCCGCGCGGGCAGAAGCACCCGGGAATGCTCGTTCGGAATAACGGTGCTGCGAACGAAAACCTGTTAAAGTCCACGGCCTTGAGCTTCGACGCAGCGGAGTAAACTACAGGCCTGCGCAATGTCTCTGCTCATTCGAAGCCGATACACACGCTAACGTTTTTATGTGACTATGATGAGCTGCATCGCAAACATAATTATTTGCGCTCATGCTAAAAGAAGCGTAGAGTAACATCCTTATGAGATGGGAGTTTTCATGCTGAAGACAATTTCTCTTTAGTGTACCAGTGGGCCAACATATGTCTGGGGTCCAAAAAGATCCAAGGGCGCGATCGAAGTTCGATGCGAACATCTCAGGATCCCATAAGCACCGAACCCCGTAGGATTTTGGGTGTGCTCTTGAGATCCAGGCAGGTGTCTGCCAGGAGGTAATGACTCAACGACGTCATCAAACAAGCATTGGTAATATTGAGCATTTGCCTTTGACCAGCACGTTATTCAGCAGTTAGATTGGTTAAACGTCGCTTAAGAAATGTGTTCTGGCAGGCTAAAAGTCGATTATTTCCAACAGAATATTTCAGAACTCATAACGCCAAAAACCAGGAGCTTAACGCCTTTCTTGCTTATGTCAGGTGGAGTGACGTCGTCGCTTTTCAGCGTGACATCCATCTTCGGATCTGTTTTTGGCTACCCGTACACCACAGCTCGGTGTCGCTCGGTGCGCCACGAAGACGGATTGTCCAGTTGAGACGGGCCCAATACTGACTCACTTGTATCTGTTATTGGCACCTGTGCCCGGCATGGGACACCGGTCGGGGAAGTTCAGCGGGATGTCCCAGAACTCGGCGCGCAGTGCGGATGAATTCCACTCGGTCTCCCTCAGCTGACGCCGCGAGAGGCGGTTGCCGGCCGATGTTAGAAACTGCACCTCCGGGCTGGGGGTAGGCGGACAGTTACCCATCGGTACTGCACTGTCGTAGTGTGGGTAGATGGAACTCCGCACCGCCGGACTCTGGGCAGAGAGGACACTGCACCGCCGGACTCTGGGCAGAGAGGACACTGCACCGCCGGACTCTGGGCAGAGAGGACACTGCACCGCCGGACTCTGGGCAGAGAGGACACTGCACCGCCGGACTCTGGGCAGAGAGGACACTGCACCGCCGGACTGTGGGCAGAGAGGACACTGCACCGCCGGACTCTGGGCAGAGAGGACACTGCACCGCCGGACTGTGGGCAGAGAGGACACTGCACCGCCGGACTGTGGGCAGAGAGGACACTGGGACGCCGGACTGTGGGAAGGCGGGACATACCGCAGCACCGCGGGAAGACGGGACACTGCAGCACCGGACTGTGGGAAGGCGGGACATACAGCAGCACCACGGGAAGACGGGACACTGCAGCACCGGGATGTGGGAAGGCGGGACGTACCGCAGCACTGCGGGAAGACGGGACACTGCAGCACCGGGATGTGGGAAGGCGGGATGTACCGCAGCACCGCGGGAAGATGGGACACTGCAGCACCGGGCTGTGGGAAGGCGGGACATCGTACTGCGTGACTCCCGACAGATACGGCACTGCACCACCGGCTGTCGGTAAACAGGATACCGCTTCGCTGGTTGGTCGGCAGACAACACTATGTTTATCGCGACACGGCTGTTTTTGGACGCACATATCCAAAAGCTTAAACGCTATCCACAATATTACGCAGTAGGTATAGTGGAGGCGTTTTTACGCCCTAAGCCATCTACGGGAATAATGCTAGTTGATGTATTTTCTACCTGCTTTGTTTGCCATCAACCGTACATCACGCGGGGCAGGAGGCGCACCGGTGCCACTAAATCTCATTCCAGGCCCACTTACTCCAGAACAAATGACAGAGTCTGGGGCCGCCAGTACATTTGTCTCTGGCTCACCATTCCATCCCAGCGGAGCGGATAGTCTCCGTGTCCTCGGTAGATTGCTGCACCTGGATGGTCAGTGAGTTGTTGGAGCCCCTCCTCTCCAGCAGTCCTTTGGCCTGGGAGCCGTGACGGCAGGTGAAGCGACGATGCCAGCGAGCTCAGTGCATACCACATCTTCCACAGGGAAACACAAAAAGGAGCTCAAAAGGTAGCTCAGGTTCAATATCTTAGCACACGCAAGGTCTGCTGCTGCCGACCGAAGCATGCGGCTTCCACTACCAAGGCCAGGTCAGGTCCAGCCCCTGGCGCGCGCGCCGACCTGTACCTTGGCCAGCGTCGGTGGGACGGTGGCAGCGTGCTCCGGGTCCGGCGGCGGCGCGTCCGCCTCCTCGGTGGACATGCGCAGCACGCGGTGCGGGATCCACTGACGGATCCGGCCCGGATCCCGCCGGCTGCGCCGCCAGTGGCACATCGCCTGCCGGCCGATCACACAGCACCTCGTCTGGGTGCAGCTCCTCTGTGCACGTGTTGCTCATGCATGCCCGTATAGGGAGGGGTAAGTGGCAGCCCACGCGACTGGTAATGTGGGCCGTCGGGGCTTGTGTACCAAACTGCTGCGCGTCTCTATAACACACGCCTGATAAACGAGAGCGCTTACTCCGTGATAGCGTGTGGCGACAAAAATGGTGCGTGACTAGGGGCAAGCCTTCATATCTGTTTGGAGGTTCCAGCCCCCCCCCCCCCTCCCCTCCCTCCTGCTCCACAGCTTTGGGAAGAAAGTAGGTCAGATGTGCCAAGGAAACCGGCTTATTGCATATCTTGGAGGAAGGTTTCGACATTTATATGGTTAAGCTACCCCTCCAACATATTTTCAGAAACTGTACCCCTGACTATGACCACGAATGCACTCTGGACCTATCATCATATGCTAATGGATAGATAGACGGGTTAGCCAGGGAAGGTGTTGCGTCATGGAAGGCATTTGTCATCACCTCACGACATCTGGTCCTGGTCGAGGACTAGGTCCTGATCCTAGACACTGGTCCTGATCGCCCCGGCCGCACCGAACCACTCACCACCACTCCGACGAGGAAGGCAGCCGCGGAGACGGCGCCGCCGAGCAACCAAAGCCAGAGCCGGCGCGGCGACGCCGGCGGCTGCTCTCCGCCGCGCTCCAGCAGCGGCGCCGGTGGCTGAGGCCGCTCCGGCTCTGGCTCGGCGCCGGCCGGCGGGCGGCGGCGCTCTCTCGCCCTCGTGCGGCGCCGGCGTGTCGACGCAGCCGCTGAGCCCTCCGTCCGGGAGGCCCTCTCGATATCAGCGACGCCGCTGAGGTCAGCTGCTGCGGCAGGCGCCCTGTCGCGCGACCGACCCCGCATGCGGCCGGTCAAAGCGTGCATCACATTAACCACCTCGTCCCTGCGCTTGGGGTTGTCTGCCCAGTCGTGCTCGGCCGCTGCGTGGTCCGTCCGGTCGGCCCCGGCGTCAGCCCCGATGTCCCGCGGAGATAAGTGATCGGTGGCGTGCGGTGAAGGTGCGCCAGCCCTCCAGTCGGCCGGCAGGGACGCGTCGTCCTTCAGGTCATCGGCGGGGAACGCTTTGTCTGCTTGGACTTTCTGTGAGCGTGCAGCCGTCAGCTCGTCGATGATGTCTTCCAAACGGCTGCTGAGCCCGGCCCCGCCGCTGCCTTGCGGTCGTGGAAGCTGGAAAGCGTCTTGGCGTTTCCGCAGCTGTGTGACGTCATTTGCAGCCTCCTCACGACTCATCCAGTCATTGCTGCTGAGAGGTTTAAAGCTTCTTGCAGGAATCATCAGCTCAACCCAATCATCTACGGGCTTACCAAAATCCGTCCAATCAATTTCAGGCTGGCTAAAATCTGTCCAATCACCGATAGGAGAACTGAGATCTGCCCAGTCATTGGCCGATTGGCTTAAATGCATCCGGTCATTTGCGGACGCCAGAGGGCGCATCTTATCCACGGACAAATGTTTCGCCCAACCCGGGTAAAGATCACTATCCCTGTCCGCAAAGAGGATATCTGCCCGGTCCGGATGAAGGCCCGCCATTCGGTGGTCCGTGTCCCGCTGTATCGTTCGGTCCCGGTATGGATCGTCCGTCCGGTCCGGATATGGATCCGAGATCCGGTCCGCGTACAGGTCGAACACCCGGTCCGGATAAAAATCGGTCATCCGGTCGCCGGCTGCTCGATTGTTTTTTTGATACGTCGTCTGCAGGATCTGGGCGAGACGCTGGTTGTTGTGGCTGGGGTCTTCATGGTAGGCGCCATGTCTTCCGACGTGCCTCGTTGTAACTGAAGAAGGTAAAAATTGAGCTTGCTTCAGTCATTGGTACAGAGCGTTTTGGCAACAAACTGGAATCACGGTCTAGAGAGCAATGGATTTGCGTCGGGATCTTTCCAACAGCCACTAGCAATAGGCGGCTCAGCATTTCATTAAAGTTACCTCATACTTGAGGAGACGGTTTGGACAGCGAAGGAGACTGTGGAATCCCAGAGTCGGTTTTCAAACTTTGGTCCTCCTAACATATTCCGTTCGAAATGAAAATCTATCAAACTACAAAAATTGACATAATCAGTGCGCGTTTAGGCTCTAGATTTCGGAGTCAGAATATGACTTCGAAATCGGAAATTAGGGCACGCGTCAAAAGTAATCGGATTCATGTCAAATACAGAACGGCATGACTTAGGACCAGACTGCTGCTAATAAACGATGAGACTGCTCCAAAACTACTAATCCTGAGTCTACTGCATTGCATTCCCACAAATCTGGGTGCCATGCCAAAAACCTTGGAAGCATAAAGAACAAAAACCCATCCCTTTGTTATACTGACTGTCTACAGCGAATACCTCGCGTGGGGCAAATAATAACACCATCGCAATCCACTCGGCCCTGGTAGACCCTGCGCGCTCTTCTTACAGGGCGTTTGTCTTCCGCGGCAACAGCAAAGGTTATCCGCTTTCCCATGCATAGGTATGATCTTTCCGGTCGACAGCCACACACAGAGCACCGAGCACCGCCGGAGGGAATATATGGCCCAATGCACGCCGACCCTCACGCCAGAACGCCCTGCAATGGCTCATTTAGTGGAGCGCGGCGGCCGTGTACAGCGCGGTGCTGCGTGACGCGGCATCGGCTTCATCTCGACAAAGAACTTCAGGCTACAGCGGGCCGCTCGCGTGAATTGGGGACGGTCACGCGTTGCACGCCACGCACGGCTGGCGAGTGATGCATCAGGGGCGGGTGGGGCATTAGGGTCACGTGCCGCCTTCGTCGAATCCCCCAGGGTAGAGACCGCACGTCATCACGCACCTTGTTATGACACGCCAGCAACTGCAGATGCCATATTAGCGATCAGGGGTTATGGAGCCACCGGGATTCGAACCGCGGCCGCCACGCGGGAGCCGAAGGTGCTAACCGCGCGGCCATTACGCCCCAAATAAGCAGAACGAGAACATGCGACACTGTTATTCGTCACGTAAGAAATTTCGCGTACTTTCGGTGCGCTGAGGTGTTTTCTCAGCTTTTCCCAGTTTTCTCAGATGCGGTTATGCCCAGCTTTATGAAATTTTGCACACGCGCCTGCGCCTTGCCTAGATTTCATTGGGCATGGCGGTGGCGAGCTCCACGTACCACACGGACAATGGGGGTTTCTTCCAGTAGCTGTAGTTGACTGTTGAATCAGTGATGCAGATGAACGCGTAGACAAATTGTCCATTAATAATTTATCGTGGGGATGGATTGGGAGCAGCTAGTTTGCTGGACGGACATTGACGGAGTCATAGCAGTTGTAGATAGCTCAATTAATTGAGTGTTATTATCTGAGATGATAAGATTAATCACATAGTGTAACTGTTTTATAGCATAGCTAGCTTGATTTCTAAAAACGAAGATCCAGGTTTGTTATCAGTTGACGCCAGATACGTTTTAACTTCATATGACTTCAGTAAAACCTCATTCAAATGCATTCATTTACTCCTAATATCAAAGGAAATCCGCAGCCAGTTACTATAACTGGTCTCATGCCAAATGGTGTGTAGTTATATGCACAAATGTGATTCGTGAAAATTAGTAGTCACGCATGTACATAAGACAGTAGTAACAGCCTTCTTCCTCGGAGAAAAAAACAGGAGAATGCAGATATAGATGGGTCCATATTTCTTTAAAGACATGTTGCTGAAATATCGATGTATCTATGTCTGCATTCTCCCGGTTTTTCCCGGAGGAATAAGTCTTTTACTTCTGCCTTATGTATGTGAATTATGTTCCTCGCCAATGCCTTGAGCAGCTTACGTAATTTAGTCACGCATGGACCTAAAACACAGCAAACCATACAAAGCATGACGATGTGCTTGAAATCGCACATCACTTTAACGTAAAAGCTTGCTTCGTTTAGCGCAGAAAAACGTTTGACGTTTATTGAAGGATGAATGTCATTTAAGAACTATCTTAAAATGGGCGACGTTCCAAGTCACGTCCTTCCGAGGCAGAGGGCCAAAGACTGTTACATTACAGGAAAGCTAAGCAGTTTTCAGCTACGTGACTCAGTCCCAGTGGCGAGCGGAATGTGGGAATATGGCTGTGGAAATGCCCTGCAACGTACTGATGAGCGTCTAACTTTGGCGAGTGACCCAAACTCTGAAGTGCATCTGAGTGGCCCATCGTGCTCCGATGATACATCCTCAGCTACTGCACGCGAACAATGAGCCTACGCTAGCTGAATGTACGGTCAGCATCGCCAACATGACCATCGACATCTAAAGCCATATGCCTGCTGGCAAACTCCAGGCAAGTAAGCAAACACGCATCGGATTGTGTTTCGCGCGGCAGCGACCAACAGAAGAGCCGCATCCCAAACACCTGTAATATAACTCAGACATGCGCTCGATCAACAGCTAAATGCATTCTTGTTGTAGAGGCGTAAAAAGTTCTCGGTCTTCACCCAGCGCGCAACCATAGCGGATTGGGTGGGGAATAATGCAGTTAGCGAAATAGCAAAGTTGGCAACTTTTATAATCTTCTGGTAATGGTATTTTTTTGGATAGAACTACCCAGGTGAAGTTCCACCCAACCACCCAGCTCTTGGCTGCAGCTAATGTCGTGACCTGCCGCCTGACCGTTGTGCCCTGCCCGGACCCGCAGTCCCCCTCCGCGCACTACCCGGAGCGGCAGTCCCTCGAAGCGCACTGCCCGGGGAGGCAGTCCCTCGAAGCGCACTGCCCATGCCCCGCAATCCCCTAACGCGCCCTGCCTGGCCCCGCAGTCCCTCGAAGTGCACTGCCCGGGCCCCGCAGTCCCTTAGCGCACCCTGCCCGGGCCCGCAGTTCCTCAGCGCGCCGGCCAGAGCGGGCCGCGCCACCGCGCGTACCTGTTGCCGCCCAGCAGACGGCCAGCAGCAGCAGCCGCAGCGGCGAGCCCGACACGGCCGCCATGCCGCGGCGGCGTCACGCACTGGCGGCCGCCGAGCGTCGCGTCGGGATCGATGGCCGGAAGCCGCACCTGGTGGCGGCGCCGGCAACTGCGGCGCCACAGCCCGCAGGTGACCGCCGCCCGACGCGCGCCCCGACCGCCGCCGCACGTCGACCGCCGCCGCCCAGCACGACCGAGCCGCACGAGCGCGGAGAGCGCGGTACACAAACGTGCGCGTCGCACTTTCGTGTGTCGGCTTATACGACGTGATCGTTGCCTTTACACGTTTGCATGGCTTCGTCCACGTGCTCGTATGCGCTTGTCGACGTGGTGTACATGTGTTTATGTTCGTCCATACGGACCGCTAAAGCTGGCGGTGCCTCCGGCCGTTGCGCCACCGCCAGGCATGACGGCAGACCCGGCGTGGCCATTATCCGTGCTCAGGAAAGCATGGCGCGGCTGGCTGCGCCGCGCCGAGCCGTGCCTCTGCTGTCCGCGCCAGATTGCCCCACGGCCGGCGACGCGTGGCGCCCGGTCACCGGGACACATCCGGGGCACGGGCTGCCCCCGTCGCCTCCGCGCGCTCGGAGCGTCCGAGCCGGCGGCCAGGCCGCGCAGGCGCGCACTGTGGATTGCGCCACTGCCGCACACTGTACAGCTGGCACCTTCAGTGCACAACTAGACACAGCAGATGTCTTGGTTATATATTTAAAACATCCACCGTGCATAAACATATATATATATATATATATATATATATATATATATATATATAAAAGTGTGCATGATGTATATATATATATATATATATATATATATATATATATACATACATACATATGTTTATGCACGGTGGACGTTGTAAGTACATAACCAAGACATCTACTGTGTCTGGTTGTGCACTGAAGGTGCCAGCTGTACATATATATATATATATATATATATATATATATATATATATATATATATATATATATATACATATATATTCGCATTGTGTGTTGTGTAGATGCCGATAGAGAGGAGACAGATAACGATGCATGGTATCAAACGTGCTGCGCACTCCACAACATATAAACATATACTGGCTTCCGTATCACGGCCATATACAATAAACATATAATGGCTTCCGTCGTTTTTATGTGGCTTTACAGGCCCAACATGGTTCATGGCTCGTACATCATGCACACTTATTTGCGACTAATGGCAGGAAAAAGCCGAAGGCTTTGTCGACCGTCAAGGCGAGTCGTAATGGCACATAAATCATCAATAAACACGAACCCTGCTGACGTACACGGACAGCTCATCCATCAATCCTGAGCCGCCAGACAGAACTGTAAGAAGTCAATAATTCGAGGCCTTGCTAAGACCTTGCCAAACCCTGGGAGTCAAAAATGATGTGACGTCATGAACCGAGTCATCCCTGCTGGGATTACGTTTCCTCAATGCGGATTGCAATACATGGATCGGGGATTATTCAGGGCATACCCACACTGTACCGCTAATGACGACCAGTGACATTCTTGACCACTGGGCACCAACGCAAGATTCGCGTGATGCTGGTATACAGCATCTCGACAGCATGAGGGCCAGGGATCATCGGCATAAAAAGAACCTCCACGTCCTCATGAGAGCGAATGCCTTGCATTTCTGAAGTTTATACAAAGAGCACAACAGGTGAGCCCACGCCACTATGACCACAGCCGACCTGGAGGAGCTGAACTGGAGCGGCCATATACCGTGACCCGGCGTCGGGCACCGCAGGCCCCACGGCCATCACACTCCAGTGAAACTCCCTTTCGTTTCCGGCGCCCGGTGCCGGCAGTCACGACAGCTGGCCCCATCCGGCACCATCTCAGCGGCGCCCGGGACGTCCCAGCACGCTCCTCTCGGCTGCGCCGTACCGTGCCGTGCCGTGCCGTGCCGTGCCGTGCCGTGCCGTGCCGTGTTGCGGCAGACGTGACGCGTTCTCAGCCTGCGGAGCCGAGGCACATGGGGTTCCAGACGACCGAGAACGCTGCCGAGCCACCGCCCGGCCTGTGGCAGCAGCTCCAGGTGAGACGAGCAGCCCCCCGGCCTATGGTAGCAGCTCCAGGTGAGACGAGCAGCCACCCGGCCTATGGTAGCAGTTCCAGGTGAGACGAGCAGCCACCCGGCCTGGGGCAGCAGCTCCAGGTAAGACGAGCAGCCACCCGGCCTATGGCAGCAGCTACAGGTGAGACGAGCGGCCGCCCAGCCTGAAGCAGCAGCTCCCGGTAAGACGAGCCGCCGCCCGGCCTGTGGCAGCAGCTACAGGTAAGACGAGCCGCCGCCCAGCCTGAAGTAGCAGTTCCAGGTAAGACGAGCAGCCACCCGGCCTATGGCAGCAGCTCCAGGTAAGACGAGCCGCCGCCCAGCCTGAAGCAGCAGCTCCAGGTAAGACGAGCAGCCACCCGGCCTGTGGCAGCAGCTCCAGGTAAGACGAGCCGCCGCCCAGCCTGTGGCAGCAGCTCCAGGTAAGACGAGCGTGATACTGCGCCCGGGACCCTGTGCGTCACATGGCGGCACGGACCACGGTGTGCGACGCGTTGGGTCAGGCCTCTCGGCGTTCGTCGCACACCAGGTCTCTGTCTACGACCGGCCTGGCCAGGCCTTCCGTGTACGACACGGAGGCCAGACCCGGCGTGGGTCAGGTATTTGTGTACGACGCGGTGAAGCCGGCCTCTGTGAGTGACCAGGGCTCGGCGAGCCAGCCCTTTGTGTACCTCGTGGCCGGCCATGACTGTGTGTGCGACATAGACGCCAGGCCCATGTGCGACACACAGATGCTCATTGCTGTATGTGCGGCACGCTGACCCAGACCTTTCCACGCGTCCGAAGCCTCGGTGCGACACGGTTGATCAGTCGTGTCATTCTGCCGATCACGACTGTACACTATCCGCCCGGTGCTCGCGACAGCCCCGTTTCTGCTTGTCTTAAATGGCAACCCACTGTCTTAAATGGCAGCAGCTCCAGGTAAGACGAGCAGCCACCCGGCCTATGGCAGCAGCTACAGGTGAGACGAGCGGCCGCCCAGCCTGAAGCAGCAGCTCCAGGTAAGACGAGCCGCCGCCCGGCCCGTGGCAGCAGCTACAGGTAAGACGATACAGGTTTTTTTGCTTGCTTGTGTCTTCTGTAATCCCATCGCGACGTCTCTCACCCTGATATTCCAACACCGCATGTCCATCGCCCACTATCCATCCATCCATTCGCGCGGAGTGATCCGTCTTCCATCATTCCGCTGCGGCAGTCTCGCACCTGTACTCAATCCATCACGTCTCCACGACAGTCATGTCTCTGGAGACAGCGTCGTGGCGCCCAGTGTCTCCTGCCCATCGCGACCGACCTCCTCTCGTCTCTCGGACACGAAACTCGTGCCTGATTCCCCTCCGTAGGACAAATCGCTTCCCACTCCGACTGGCGGGGGCGTCAGGTGGACTACGACTCGGCTAAGAGCACACAACACAGTCATGAATGAACACCGGTCCGACTAAAGATGTGCTTGATTCGTGAATAGATTTGGATGGAATCAATTCAGGTGATCACAGAGTAGGGCGTACGCCTATGTACGAACGACATAAAGCCCACACTAAGCATTTATTTCAGTGGCAAAGCTGAAAAAGCCAGTGTCTCATTTGTTCCAGATGAACGCCTGTCGGGACAAGAAATGAGTTGATCTAAAGACTTCCGTTTGCGTCAGCTAATCGATGACTCCAACCAATGCGCTAACTCATTGTCGACTTTGTTTTGCACACATTATCAAAAGAAATGGTATCCACCTTGTCTCACCGGAGAACAAAGAAATCACGAAAACGGCAAAGACAGCGCGCAGCAAGTGCAGGTGGGCCCAAAGTTTAAATACGGAAGCTTCTTCTGTTAACACATGCTTATGACGACTTTGTGTATGTCTGTTCTCCGCGACAGGCGCGTCTTAAAAGGCCCCCACTGTCCCGTGTCTGTGTCTGCAACATAGCAGTCACGTGCGTGCACGCATAACTATCGGCAGCATTGCTTGCAATGCTGCCCGTACACACAGAACGTGACCTTCAAACTGCTCATTTATTTGCCAGTCGTGGCCGTGTGCCTTTGAGTCAGGGACATAGTTTCCGTCCCAATATGGCGCTCCAAATTCTCTCCCCTTCCCTCACTTCGAGGGAAAGGAGGGTCGAATCCGGGGAGAAAGCTGTAGTTGGGCTTTTTAAGAGAACGTTTAGCCATTACTCCATGCCTGCTCCCGCCCCCTGCCCTCAACCTGAGTCGTGAACCTTCACCTCTGCTTTGAGTATCTCATGCTGACCTCTTTTAACATCTTCAGCATGGCTGGCCACCGTTATTTACGTATTACAGCGATACCGTGTCCGTGAACTCTCACGATGGTTGGTTTCGGGACACCCTTTTTGACAACCATGCGCATGTAAGCTTATCGTCGTAAAAGTTTCGTTTCTGGATTTTCCATTATGGCAGCTTCCTGCCGGTCTAGCCCACCACGACATCCACGCCCGGCCATCCTGGTCAGCCTTATCCGGCATCATGCATAGACATACACGTGTAGTGAGCTACGGCGAGGCATGCCCTGATATAGAGAGCAGCACTCGATGACCCCGGTCAGTGACACGCCCGCCGTGCTCGTCTGTGCGTGCAGTCGACCCTGACGGCGTTCGCGGCCGGCGGGCTGCGGCCGGCCCGCAGGGTCGCCGGCCGCCTGGCGGTCGGCGCCGGCGGCTCGGGTCGGACCGAGGGCGCCGCGAACGGCGGTCCCAGTCGGCACACAGATCCGCCACAGACAGGTCCGCCGCCGGCTCCCCCTCCCCAGACCCGACACTACCTCCGGCCACTCGAGCCGATCAGTCTCCTCCGTCCAGCACGCCCCGGGATCCGCACCTTCGCCCCAGCCGCTCAGCAGCGTGCGACCGCCCTTCAGACAACCGACGAACAGCCCCCCCCCCCCCCACACACACATACGCACACAGCAGACGACACATCCCTCCGTCAGCCAGCAGACAGCACTCGCCCTGCAGCTCCAGACAGCCCGGTGCAGCAGACTCAGCGTTGACGGCGCCGTGCCCGTGCGCAGACGATGGCCCGTTCTCGTGGCGGCATGTTCCTGCTTGGCTGGACTGGCGGCGTCCTCCTGGTCATGGTCCTCTACGCGGCTCTGCACCCCTCCAAGGTAAGCAGCTCACCACGGCAGGGTCCCACACCTCTCCAGAGGAGGAGTTCGCCACGGCACTGCCCCCGGCCCCTTCCCCGGGAGGGGGACAGTAATGGGGGCACGGTGCTCCTTGGTGAACGAGCAGTGGGCAGCGCACATCTGTAGGGAAGGGGGTGGTCGCGGTTCAAGCCTGCACGCATCCCAGTCGCATGTCAATCGTAACGCTTAGGTGAACCTTGCCAGCACAAGAAATGATGTGAACCAGCGCTACGTTTTGTACCATGAATATGCAAAAGCATGTGAATGTGTAAAGCATGCACGCAAGGGTTGAGTCGTTCCATGTTGATGATAATCTGGGTCGCGCTCCAATAGCGGCGAAATGGCCAAGGTGAGAACGTTAATGCGGTGGTGTTGCAATGAGCCTGCTGCATGTATCGTAGCATTGTTTTTTACACCCTCAAGAGCAGGTAGAATAGTCCGTCGGAGCACTTTGCTTATGATTGATGTTATCGCCTACAGACCCCTCGGCCAGTAATTTCTCCTCCCATGATTGGGCCTTACTTGGTCATGAGGAGATCACAGGCGCTTGGCTTATTGTTATTAATGCATCGCAGCCTTGAAAGTTTCCAACATTTTCGAGCCTCGAGCTTTCGATCTTGCGATTTATAGACTGCACTCTTACTATCAAGCTATGGAGAAGGGCTGTCGGGAGCGGCTGGAGCCGTCCTTCGTTACGCCATCGGGGAAGACTGGTCGGGCTTGTTCTCCACGATAGTCTTGCGGTCAGAACATTAGTCTGCGAATTGTAAGGTGATTGCATCGAAATGGCCCAAAACTTTTCAGGCTGTAGTAAATAAGGCACTAAACGACGACCGTCCGCTGGGTCTTCTCAGGGGCAACCAACTTCTCCCAACGGCCGCATAAATCACTGGCCGAAACGTTGCGTAGGCAGTGACGCTAGCAAATGAACGTCTCTTCTTTCTCTTTGCGCTGATATATCGTCCAGAATATTCTTTTTTTGTTGAAATTTTGGTGGTTGTTCTGTCCTGTCCCTGGCCCTGATACGCTCAGAATCAGACTCGTGGATATACTCGGGAAACTGAAGAAGGTCACTGACTTAAACACTTAATAGATGAGTATTTTTGTTTGGGAAGAGCACATAGGTCTCACCATTGGCGTGGAAAGGGACGAAGCGTGGGCCGTATTTTGATAACACTTGGGGGAACCTGTGACGGTAGGAGTCCTCAAGTATTGAATTGCGTACCGAATTTATGGACGGCCCCTTCACTCGGTTTTATTGTGTCCTTTCACTGAACTCAATCTACAAAAAAAGCAGCAGAAACATTCCCGGTGTTCTCGGCGAGCCCAAGCTCTTTCATAGACCGTGTGAGGGGAATCTCTGATTCGCTGCCGACGGACGTGACATTTAAAATAAATAAGGGTGAATGAGATTTGCTGGCAAGAGGTGGCCTACCCCGTTGGATTATGCTGCACGTATGCTATATCCTTTGCCTAATGCATATGTCCGTGAATATAAATGCGCCCATGGACTGGGATACATTTGGCATGTGCGGAGTTGTGACCTTGCGTTGGTTTAGAAACGTCGCAAATGGCAAATGTAGGACGCTTCAAAACTGTTTGAGCCATAGAAAACCGCAGCAAAAGTCACCATTATATGGAATAAACAAGAAGCTATGTGTATATCCAGCCTAGCAACAGCTTACTGGAACGCCAGCATAGCTCGTCCCATACAATAAAGACTACAGCTTCAAAACGCGGAGAATGTTTTGTGCATTGTACGTTCATGAGATACCAGAAATGAAAAGGTCCAGGGCTAGTCATTCCACAACAGTTCAAAATTAGTGATCACCATGGCTACGGTTGTCTGCACGGTTGGTGGGCGTATTTCCAACAGCCGCCCTTCGACCTCGCGCCCCTATGAGAACGTTGTCACCGACATTCACTCGCATCGCATCATCCAACTGCAGAAGCCGCGAGCCTCTAATGTACCAGCATTGCTTTCACTTTCTGCAGAACCTCTTGCCTCCTGGACTGAAAGCGCAATACGGAACTCGGTGTCGTCAAGTGGTCGTAAAATCGGCACGCCTCCGGTGCACGGCACGAGCTGGCTGCTGTTGACGAGTGCTGACGTTGACGTTGATTGACGACAACAATCGTCATGGTTTGAGCAAAGGTGCGGCAGTTTATATACTCTTCCGTGGAAAGCTCGGAATTAACACGCTCAGCAAAATTGGCCTTAATCTGTCAGCAAGTTGGTAGGTGGGGCTACACATGATGATGATGCTCTAGACCTTTCTCTGGGAAATAATATCAATGCTATCTTCTATGGACCTGATTTGCGTAACGCTGCGGAAGTCTATCTTTTGACCTTTCCTGGGAGAAAACATAAACAGCCTTGGTTGAATTGCGAGTTAGACGCTACAGCCGTTGTTGGCGTCAAATCCCGCACAGATGAAAGTAAATGGCATTCATATTGGGCAAGCGTGGTACCCCGTTGCAGGCTTGTTTACAAGATACAGGCTGCACGGCGAATGTCGGCCAGCGTCTGTCGTTAGTCAGAGCTTGGCAGCGAGCGTCGTTAGTCGGATCTCGGCCAGCGCGCGCCGTCAGCCAGATCTTGGCCAGCGGGAGCTTTCAGCCAGATCTTGGCCAACGTGTGCCGTCAGTCAGATCACAGCCAGCGTGTGCCGTCAGTCAGATCACGGCCAGCCTGTGCCGTCAGTCAGATCTCGGCCAGCGTGTGCCGTCAATCAGATCTCGGCCAGCGTGCGCCGTCAGCCAAATCTTGGCCAGCGTGCGCCGTCAGCCAGATCTCGGCCAGCGTGCGCCGTCAGTCAGATCACGGCCAGCGTGTGCCGTCAGTCAGATCACGGCCAGCGTGTGCCGTCAGTCAGATCACGGCCAGCGTGCGCCGTCAGCCAGATCTCGGCCAGCGTGTGCCGTCAGTCAGATCACGGCCAGCGTGTGCCGTCAGTCAGATCTCGGCCAGCGTGTGCCGTCAGCCAGATCTCGGCCAACGTGCGCCGTCAGCCAGATCTCGGCCAGCGTGCGCCGTCAGTCAGACCTGGGTACGTGTCCGCCGCTGGCCGCTGTTGCCACAGGCAGCACACCCGACAGCGGGAGTCATGCTGCTCGCCGCTCGGGCCGGTCAGGCTCACCGCCGCCGGTCGCGGCGGGGCCCGCCGAGCCGCGCGCCGCCGGAAAGACGAGGTCACCAACCGGCCTCGCGAGAGACGAGGTCACGCTGGCGCGCGCACGCCCACGCCCCTCTCTCACGATCTGAGGGCACAGTCGGACACGCCTTTGGCCATTCCTTAAACAATGGTCCCCGTTGGATCCCGGTGTGGGCAGTCGGGCAGGGCCGAGAGACCCTCTCGGGAAATGGGGTATGGGACCGTTAGTTGATGGGTCTGTGAATGTAGGCCGCTGGCCGGTGGTCGTAGGAGGAGGGCGGACCATCCAGCAGGTCTGTTCACGTGTCATTTCGAACTATGCCCGTCTGGCTAGGCGTGTTGCTGGCGCGTAAAACATTTAGAAACAATTGGTAGCGTCCTATGCTTACAGCTATATGATGTCAGACAGCGGATGGCTAAAATAAAAGCAGTGCTGAATATCTGGAAATGAAAACACAGGCCGTGCATTCCTTAACAAAACAGGAATTAAAAGTCGCACTTATCATCACTGTTGCACGCATCCCACCTGTTTCAGCAACTCAAATTCCTTCTAGTAATTTGCATCCGAGGTGGAAAAATTCCAACTATGTGCAGCCTTGTCAACGAAACAGCGAATCGGATGCTATCAATCCAATGAGACTTCCCGTAGAGCATAAAAAGTGCCACCAGTACATGCAACTCAATCACAGCAAAATAATTGGACCGACTTTTAGCATTGCATAGCCTTTCCGTAGCCCTATTTGCACCGTCGCTGGCTATCGTTGTATCAATCGTCGCGAACACCGCTGATCCTCCCTCACCCGTTGCGCCTGAGGTCTGCCGCCCAGCTGGGTGCTGGGCCCGGCCGGGCCGGGGAGGTCGGCCCTGCGCGCCGCCACCGCCGCCGCCCCGCCCGCGGCCGGCGGTTCCGCCCCGGGAGGCCACGCGTCCGAGATACAGCGGCCGCCACCGGTGCACTGACCTGGATTCTGACCCATCAAGGCGGCCCGGCGGCGAACTTGACCCCGATCGCAGCCCGGTCGGCTGACCTCCCGGGCGGCGGCGTCACTCGGTCGGGCCGGGGCGGGCCGGGCCGGGCCGGGCCGGGCCGCAGCCGCAGCCGCGGCCGCGCTCCATCGCGTGACGCGCGGCGGCCAGCGCCCTGCGGCCTCCGTCGCTGTGTCGGCCGGCCGGCTGCCCGTCTCCACTCCGGCAGAGTGGCGTGTGAGGACGGCGTGCAGGCCTGTACCTGGCGGGAGGTCGCTTTCCTCATGGAACTGCCGTCTGTCGGCCGCCAGGTGCCCCGTCACATGCCCGAGACCCGCCACGGACGCCTCATTTGGAACCCGTCTGTTGTTGTGGCATGCCGGGCCAGGCCATATGGATTCGTGGCATTTTTGTTAGTTTACGTGATCGTCGCTGAAACAGAAAGCATATGTCCTTGTAATTTGTCAGAGCGCGGCAATGGAAAGGTGTCTTTGGTAACCGTTCGTTACGTGGCTTTGGACAGCTATGACCTTGGTACCTCCACATCCATCGGCTAGTGAATTAGGTTTGCTAAATAACATGTTAAATAGGGGCGACTATACGAGTGGCGAAGAAAAATTCATGCCATGGCCGATGCTTTACTCAATTACACTTATCGAGTCGTGCCCATGGCCGTTTCGATCAGCAAACAGCGGCGTTAGTGACGTCAGTACAGGGAATAATTCGTGCCGCACCCGGTTGGGCCGTGTTTCCACTACATCCGCTTTCGTTCATACAGGCGCGTTTTCGTCTGGTTAGCAACGAATAGGAAACAGGTGTAATGGAGCCAAGGAACAAAAGCACCGAAGGTTCGGTACT